ATATATATATATAAAAAACCTCTGCTGCCTGTGGTGGGTTGATGCTTCTGTCCAGGAACATCCACAGATAGTTTCCCCACCAAGACAAAAATGCTGAGGTCTTTATAAACTTAGGAACATTTTAAAGCTGTGAGGATTAAATTAAAATGGGATCACATCAAATGGTATTTAAAATATGTCCGGTTGAATTCGGATCACCGTAGCATTTTTTTAAAGTCCTGATCTTAACTACGTGAAACAGCAACCTTTTATTTGTTTAAAATATATATTTAACTGCAAAGAGAAGTTAATTCAATTTGTTTTATGATGCCTCGCACTGCAGGTCTTTATGTGATGGAAAGGGGCTGTAAATATGTTAGCAAAAACCTAAAATGAAAAGTTCCCAGACTACAGATTTATCTCTTGAGCAAATACATATTTTTTACACATCACAACATTGGCAATTTTCTCAGCTTTAATTTAAGCCCTATTTTATAGAAATCGGATGACAAATCAGGGTGCTATGAATATTTCTGTGACAGATTGACGCGCATCCCGCATTGAAACTCTACTGTTTTGTTGACAAAACTCAATGCATAGCAAGTCACRTGATGTCCAATCCAGTAATATAGATCAATGCCTCCAATTCCCTCCCCACCCCCTCACCCGTGTTGGACCTGGCCTGTGAACCCAAGGCTGAGAAGAAGGTGACTCTGAACTCTGGCGAGCCAAGCAGGAGACGATAACATCATGGACTCTGGACTCTGTCCCCCCTCCCTCCCACAGCCCCAGCTGTCTTGCTCTGTAGTAGGGGTGCCACGATTAGTCGATTAGTCTTCGACTAATCGATTATTAAAATAATCGATGACTAATTTAACAATCGATTAATTGTTTTCTTTTTTTTTGTTCTTTACTTTGTGGATCATTTTAAGAAAATGAAAGAGAAACATGTGCATTATCTGCAAGGCATAACTTGCCTTCCACAGCAATTATTTTTAGTTAGCATATAGCTAAAATCTAACCATTGTTATATAATAGCAGCTGCATTCTGGTGCAATAAGATGTATGTTTTATATTCAATTAATGTATGATCCGATTAGTCGACTAATCAAAAAAATTGGTGATTTATCAATTATAAAAATAATCGTTTGTGGCAGTCCTACTCTGTAGTGAGTAGTTTTTTTTTGTGCATATGATTTTATGTTTCTGACGTAAATATAAAATCAGAGCATTTTTTTCAATTTCATCTCTCCTGTTGTGTATTTCCAGCTGCTAAAAAAGGTAGCGCGACCCTGGTTGCTCATGACATGTTCACCTGTTCCCCCATGTTTTTGTCATGTGTGTTTTTCTTGAATGGGTGTTCTTAACTGTAATTCCTTGTGTGTGTCAACATACTTGTCCAACAAATCTGATTCTGATTTTTTTCAACACATTTAAAACCTTTTGTATGAACCTGATGACCATGTGACACCTGAATTTCCCCTCTGTGGGACAATAAAAACATTCTGTTCTGTTAATTTGGCACTTTTAATGGTTCTCTATTTCAGGGAGGAATAAATACAAAACATGCAACATGGATGCTCAAGTTTGAATTTAACGTGGATTTTCTCTAACCCACAGTTTATTATGTTTGCCGCAGTTTATGAATATTGTCAGTGTTTTTCAGTTTATTCATTGTTCAAAAATAATAATGCAACATATATGAGACTTTCCCAGCAGAAGGTTTGACTGAGTTTTGGTAGAAAAACAGACTGCAATCATGCACACAGGCATGTGGCTGAACCCTCCCCCTGGCACTCCTGATGGGCAGAATTAGAGATGAGATTAACTTCTGACCTGGAAGACCCATCACATTAAACATAAACACACAGAAATCATCTCCATCTTATTGACTAATAACAGACAATATCTTCTTAAAGGGACAGACTGTATTTGAAAAAACAATATCTGGCCTCTGAAAATTAAAGCTGAGTGTCCATAGCAATTTCCTTTAATTACATTAAACTAACGCTAAGCTCTAACATTTTGGCAAAGTAACACTGGAGGGTTTGGCTGAAAAGGCAAAAACTGGAACAATCCCTTGGTGAATAAAAACAATAGCTGAGACTTCATAATGCTAAAGAAATAAGATGGATTGAAAGATGGGCAGAGAGATGCGGATTAATCTTTGCCCCTCGTTGGTGAAGGTGGCCTATAAAATCTGTGGTTAATAAAGCCGCTGCCTCGGACGCCCTTAAGCTGCTGCCGCGGCTCAGCGCTGACAAGCTGCACTCCCTGAAGACAAGCTTTCATCAACTCTTGTGTATGAGAGACATGGGGGAACAAGTGCCTCTGTGTGTGTGTGTGTGTGTGTGTGTGTGTGTGTGTGTGTGTGTGTGTGTGTGTGTGT